TCACTTTGGCTTTCGCTTGATATCCCCAAAGGCAGCCTTCACCTTCATGTGATTGGGGATCACAACGCTGCTGGTATCTAATTCCTGCAATTTTCGTTTGGTTCCGCCTGTCTTGGGTGCAGGCTCATTTTTTGGAGTTTGTTTCTGTCTGTTCTTGGCCTTAGCCTTTCCTTTTGCTGCAGCGCCCTTCTTGGGCTCTGCTTTTGACTTCTGACTTTTCCCTTTGGCTTTGGAAGAAGAGGCAGCTGCACCGTCAGGGTCACCATCGCCCGAAGAATCAGACTCAGAAATTGAGCTGGAAGACATGGCTTGGACTTGGCCACCATTTCCTTCATTCGATGTTTCCCGTTCCGGCACCTCCTCTGCATTCTTTGACATGACCTCATCAGTAGTCTTGTCATCAGGCGCGTCCTCCAAAACATCTGGCTGGCAATCCTCGATCGTCCCCTCCAGCACCATGGATGCCTTTTCCAAACCATCCGAAATTTTCTGCTTGTTGGGTTCCGAAGAGCATTCCTAAGCGGTAGCAGCGAAGAGAAGAAAAGGTGCAACATGTGAGAAAAACATTGAAACATCGCAGGTCAGTGTCCCTTGTAAGGTTCTGGTCAATGCTTCATCTTATCAAGAAGACATGTTCAAAATGGTGTTTACGAAGAAGCAAAGTCAAAATGTTCCCAGGCAATGACGGGCAGCGTGGCCACCTTTCTTGTGCTTTCCCCACAGGAAACGAACGACTTGCGTGAGTGCCTGCTCAGTAGTCCATTTCTCTCCAAATGTCCGAGATGTTGACCAATGTGTCTTGACTTTGGGATTCTTTCGCTGGCTCTCATCCAAAGTTTTGGGGTAGTAGCCTTGGAAAGACTTTGTGGCAACCTGCCAGGTCAGGTAGCACTTGGTCATGGGAGGCCTCAAGTTCTTTATGTACCATGGAGTAGCAGCTTCTGCGGCAGCCCGTGGGGCTGCAAAGCGCGTCAAGATAAATGTTTCTCGATCTTCTTGGTCTAGCATATCTTTCATGTCAGTGAACAATTTTCCGTCGGTGGTCCCATCCATTTCTACCAGCACGTCTTTGAGAGAGTCTGGCCGGATGAGTTTGGATTTGATTGTGGCGTCTGACTGCAACAAACGATCCAGAACCTCCGCTTGACGCACCTCATCCATATCCGGGAAGCTGTGTTTGATCAAGGACATCCTTAGCTAAGGTAACGGTCCACGGGGCCGAAGTGTGGAGAAAGCCTTCAAAATTAAAGGGCCGAATAACCCCACAAGTCAACTTCTTCCAGTAAGCAGACACAAAAAGTTCAAGTGGGACGAGGAAGGAAGGATAGACAAAGGAGGTGGTGGAGGATCGATCGAAAAGTTGTATCTGAACAGTTGTGTATGACAAAGTTGTGTGTGTGTGAAAGACGGTGTGACAAAGTTGTGTGTGCCAGATGGTGTGTGACAAAGTGGTGTGTGAAAGAAGGTGTGTGACAAAGCGGTGTGTGAAAGAAGGTGTGTGACAAAGTGGTGTGTGAAAGAAGGTGTGTGACAAAGAGGTGTGTGACAAAGATGTGTGCGAAAGAAGGTGTGTGACAAAGTTTCGTGTGACAAAGTGGTGTGTGAAAGAAGGTGTGTGACAAAGTGGTGTGTGAAAGAAGGTGTGTGACAAAGATGGTGTGAAAACGGTGTGTGTGAAAGATGGTGTGTGACAAAGAGGTGTGTGAAAGATGGTGTGTGGCAAATTTGTGTGTGACAAAGATGTGTCTGTGTGTGTGACAAAGTTGTGTGTGTGTGTGTGATAAAGTTGTGTGTGAAAGATGGCCACGCAAAGTGACGGTGGATGTCGCCAAGCGCCACGCCAGCCACGCAAAACGGAGGTGGGTGTCACCAAGTGTCATGCCTGCCACGCAAAGTGGCACGGCGTCACGGGCGACCAACGGGGACCAAGCGCGTCTCCAGACCCAGCCAAGTGTCATAAGTACCACGCCTAGCACGCAAAACGAAGGTGGATGTCGCCAAGTGTCACGCCTGCCACATGAAACGACGGTGGATGTCGCCAAGTGCCACGCCTACCATGCAAAGTAGAGCGGCGTCACGGGCGACCAACGGGGACCAAGCACGTCACCAGACCCAGCCAAGCGTCACAAATACCACCCTTGCCGCGCAAAACGAAGGTGGATGTCGCCAAGCGGCACGCCAGCCACGCAAAACGGAGGTGGGTGTCGCCAAGTGTCATGCCTGCCACGCAAAGTGGCACGGCGTCACGGGCGACCAACGGGGACCAAGCGCGTCACCAGACCCAGCCAAGTGTCATAAGTACCACGCCTGCCACGCAAAACGAAGGTGGATGTCGCCAAGTGCCACCCCTGCCACGCAAAGCGACCGTGGATGTCACCAAGTGCCACGCCTGCCACGCAAAGTGGCACGGCGTCACGGGCGACTAACGGGGACCAAGCGCGACACCAGACCCAGCCAAGTGTCATAAGTACCACGCCTGCCATGCAAAACGAAGGTGGATGTCGCCAAGTGCCACGCCTGCCACGTGAAACAACGGTGGATGTCACAAAGTGCCATGCCTGCCACGCAAAGTGGAGCGGCGTCACGGGCGACCAGCGCGTCACCAGACCCAGCCAAGCGTCACAAGTACCACCCCTGCCACGCAAAACGAAGGTGGATGTCGCCAAGCGCCACGCCAGCCACGCAAAACGGAGGTGGGTGTCGCCAAGTGTCATGCCTGCCACGCAAAGTGGCACGGCGTCACGGGCGACCAACGGGGACCAAGCGCGTCACCAGACCCAGCCAAGTGTCATAAGTACCACGCCTGCCACGCAAAACGAAGGTGGATGTCGCCAAGTGCCACGCCTGCCACGTGAAACGACGGTGGATGTCGCCAAGTGATGGTGTGTGGATGGTGTGACAAAGATGATGTGTGGGTAACAAAGTTGTGTGTGAAGCAGTTGTGTGTGTGAGGACGCGGAGGCGGGAAGCGGAGGCGGAAGGTACAGATCTAAAAACAAGAACCCCACACAATTTTGTGGGGAAAAAAAGACCATTGTTGGTAAAGATTCAACCTGCTTTTGACGCCCACGGTCTTCTCATTGTATTTCAAGAGTGGCGCACCAGAAGCAAAGATGAGCTTTGGCAAGTGCGCCTTGATGGTGGGATTCAACACCCCATAGCGCAACCAGAAAGGGAGCAAAAGAGACTCGTCCCCATCCTTTCGCAGCACCACCCCATCCTGCTCACGGCAGGTCCTGGTGCATGGAGGACCTTGGCTGGTCAAAGTTCAATACGCGACTGCACCAATAAAACCAAACAAGGTTGGCAGAAAGATGGTGAAAGGCGAGGTTTTCAGCAAAGGTTTGCCTAGGCAAGGGAGAGACACTCCAGACACATGGAACGCCTGCAAAAGCTTCTTTCCCCTGCCCAAGCTCATGCGCAACTATTGGCTCCAACTTGCCGATAAACTGTTGCACGGTCATGCGTGACTCGGCAAGGAAGAAGAAAGTCCCATTGGTCTCATCCTATCTTTGGCCAAAATCAATCACACCAAAATCAACCTTGTTTCCAATTTTAGCGGCTCAAGTATTAACACAAACAGGACACGGAGTTTGCACAAGCTTCGGTCCTCCAGCTCTTCAAGCTCCCATCCGAATAGGGCTTGATGCTGAAACCTCAGGGAAAGGTAAACCTTCTTGCTGGACAGGTGCCGGTAGACCATGCCTTCTTGTAGTAGGCATCCAACCCAACACCCCCCAATCCCATGGAAACGAGATGGGCCAAGCTCACGAAGGGCAAGCATAGCGACAATTGAGCGAAAGTCAGCTGCTTGGCCACTTGGCTTCACAGCGCTGCTCGAATCACCTAGGGAAGATACCGCCCGGACATATCTAACAAGTTTCCAGGCCCAGCAAGCCAGGGAACTACCTTGTACAAGAAAACATCCTTCTTGGGGGGCAACAAAAGCAATTTAAAGGTTGACAAGGCTGGCAAGAAACGATGCTTGCAACACTCCTTCATTTTCTCAGTAACGGCGTTCTTGATCTTGAACTTTTCTCCGAACGTCTCTCCCCGGCCAGCTGAAAACTTGCGAGCAGCCGCGGAAGTGAAGTCGCCGGCCTGAATCTGCAGAAAAGGGACGTTGCCAAGCCTTTCTGACATGGTGTTATAGAAGAAAACTGTCTCGGGCATCATGGGAGTGGATGATTTCTTGTCTCGCTCTTCATGGTCTGCAATGTCTGCAAACACGTCCTCGAGTAGGTCCTTTGTACTGATCAAAGTTGATGCTAGTCTCCAAAAGTGGTTGTAATAGGAGTCTGGATGCCATCCAAAATGCCGGCAATGTTGCCATGTTTCCTGCAGACATTCTGAGACGACCCTGGCAACAAGCATCATCGGTCCCATGTGCAAAGTAGGTTTTGGAGCATAGCGTTGCCCATGTTCAATGAAAACAAACACTTGACTCACAACACGCCCAGATTCTTGCACCAACGTCAAGCGGTGGACCCACAAGTTGTCGAAGGCAAACTTTAAGCCCTGCAACGGGTAGATTCAAATTTGCTGTGAGCTTATTCTGTTACGCTTTTGCGTACTCCTTGTTTCTAATCCACAAAGCTTGGTCTGCGGGCAAGCGATTCTCATGTTTTTTGGGCCTGAAGAAGGCAACAAGAATGCTTAGGGAAAGGCGAGCCCAAGAGGCAAATCCTACAGCAAACCATCTGCCGACTCAGAAGCAAGAAACAGTGCAAACATAACACACACACACACACACTGCTGATGGGAGCATGTTACTGAGTAACATTACTCGAATGAGGAACTTTATAGTGATGAAGTAGTTCATGCCTTGAGGGTTCCTAGGTCCAAAATCCTGGTCAGTCGAGTAGGGAAAGCAGTGGGAAACTCTGATTTCGGAGATAATCTCAAATTAGCAACATATACGCATGAAAATGGACAGCTTGTTCAACAGTTCAAAACCAACTTCTGCAGGTACAGGGAGGTGATCAGTCTCCCCTTCCCCCCAATGGCAATAGCTTCGTTGCGTGCAGTATGCCAAAGGTGCTGCACGCCCCTGCATCTGATGGATTGTTTGAATCAACTTGTTAACAGAAACTCAGGTCCGCATGAATGATAGCGGATTTCACACACACAATGGCCCCCCCGGCAGGGGAGGCAGCTGATGGTGAACGCTGTTTTTCATCGCAGTATCAGTTTGCAATATATACATGTCCTAGAAATTCTTGTACAACATATGGGAAAGGTTCACTGTAAATCAAATGGTCTCCTTGGGACAGAATAAGGGTCCGGACTGCGTTCCCGTTGGAGAGCGACTCTTCTGAAAACGATCGGTTGAAGGGAACGAGGACTGAACAGATGAACCATCAGCTACAGTGAAAGACCGATCTTGACGTCGATGTGATGTAGAACTTGCATTTTCAGAAAGTGGCTCGATCAAAACGTTCTTGATACTCGAGCGTGTCTGACCATCATAACTATAGGGCTCCCGGACTTGCGATCTGGATCGTTCACTTTCATTTTCGAAACGAGACTCAACTGAAGCGTTCTTGATACTCGAACGTGTCTGACCATCACAAATATAGGGTTCCCGAACTGGCGATCTGGAGCGATCGGTGAGACGTTTCCGAAGGGACCACTGTTCCAAAGTATTGCTAAGTTCACGCAACGAAGGCATCGTAAGAAGGAGATAGATTGGTTTGAGTTTGAGCTTAAATATACTCTTCAAAATTCAAAAACGTGTGATTCGAACTGTCAAAGTCAAGATTCGCAATCGGCAAAAGTATGATGAAAACAACTGAGTTGAGAAAAACACAACATGAACATAACTGAAAAGGTAAATGAAAAAGAAGAAAACAGTGTGACGTTATCGAACTTCAGATGAAAAACGTCAAAGAATGCCCATTGATGAAAATGTCCAACATCAAATGACTTCACGAAAGTGATGGCGAATGACGACAAAACACGACAATGCGAAATCCAGCAACTGTTTTGTCTGCGTTTCCTGTCATGGTATCTAGTCAAAGTGAAAAAGGGAATCAGGATCAAGTTGTGGATGACGTGAGCGTACCAATTTGATAATCTGACTTCTCAAAGTAGAAGACAATACATCACGTTGTCGTCGAGACCAAATGGACAGAAAATCTTGAATTTGAGGTATTTGTAGAGAACTGGGCCATGTTTTCTGCAAAATGAGACGAATTCTGGCCAGAGCTCCGGACGTGAGTGCCTTAGTCGTACTTGAACTCCTTGTTGAACGAAACGCTTTGTCCACAGGTTGAAGATATGTAGTTGTACGCTGTAACACGTCAGCGTTGTATCCTAACAATTCAGATCCTTCAACTTGTTCAAGTAGAATGGGAGGTGAATAGAATGAAAGATTCCAAAATAACTGCATTTCTGAGTTCCAGTGTCCCACAGGAAGTAGCATCACTCGATTGTCAACGTAACGATGATGAAAAGTGGAATTGTTGGTAAATTGACGACAACAGGACAGAAAAGTATGTTCTCGCATGAGTGCGACAGCTGCACAGAAAATAGGTGCCCATTGACTACCCATGCTGGCACCACGTTTTTGTAAAAATGTAGACATTCCGACGGTGAAAAAACTGTGGTTCAACAGAAAGCTACAAATAGGTAGAATGTCGCCCAAGCGAATATCACGATACATCTTGGTGTGTTGTCGCCATTGACCTCTAAAAACTCGCAGGGTGCGTTCATGTTGATATACGTGTGCTTGAAGTACAGAATCGAAGGTCTGTCCATGTTGTAAAATATATTGATGAATGGCGAATTCAATAGATCCGAGAATGCGGTCATGTTCAACTTGGTTGTAGAAACCAGCAATATCAGTCTGAAAGAGAAGAAGGTCAGCACCATGATCAATTTGGAAAAAGCATTTGATTTCGTTCATCACCTTGTTGATATCACTGTAGCGAAGTAAGGATGGATAAACAACTTTCAAAATATCTTGCAACACCACAGACAAAATATAACCCATCTGTTTTTGCCAAGATCGACTGTAATTAACGATGGGTCGTGCTTTCATAAACGAGCGTGAAGGTTTTGGAAGAATATACGCCTTGCTTAATGATAAATGAAAATCGAAAGCCCAAGGATATCTGTCAGTGATCCATCCAGGAAGATCATACTGAATATTCTTCAGAATAGTGGCTGAATCAACATTATAAAGATGAAAAACAGAGGTGTCTTGAAATGTCTTACACAGCAAATTGTGCCACTGGACAGGACAATGTAAGGTGAGAGACGATGGAAAATGATCTGCTGGGGAAGCAATAAGTCCGTCGATCCTTTGTCGAGCCTGTCGAATACGTTTTTGAGTGTACAACTGACCTGAATCAAGTTGCAAATTCCAACAGTCTTGTAGAAAAGCCTGCCAATACTGGATCAGATCTCGGCGAAGTTTCCAACGTCGTAACCATTTTTCAAATTGGAAGGTGTTTTGATGGAAAAAATGTGTCCACGTAGGTGTAACTTCATCTTCCAAATGTGCAGTCAGAATAGGATCCAGTGGAAAACATTCCGAGGCGAAGGATGAAATATGATCTGTTTTCCGTGGATTGTGTTGAACATGAAGAGGAAACAACTGACAAGCACACTGAGGGCGAAACTGAGGTGTCCACAACTTTAGAAAAGAACGAAAATTGTACAAATATTGAGCTAAAGTTCGATTTTTCACTGTCACAAACGGTGCACGAACTTTGTGAAAAATGGGAAAGTTACAGCGATGATGGTGAGTGAATCCCAGCAACCATTGTCGAAATCGACGTTCCATTGTATCCGACGAAACCTGTAACTGCATGGGTATATTCGCTGGTGGCGATTCAGTAGCATAGAATTTGAAAATATAACGCAATTGAGATTGTGCTCTGGTCCGAAAAGGTTCCGACATATGGTGGCTCAAGCGCCATAACAAGAAAATCAACTGCACATTTGACAACTTCGAACGTAGAATGCGAGAACAAATGAACTTGTCATGCGTGTCAGAACCAAGGGAATACAGGAAAATGTACAAACTTGTAGTATCCGTAATCCGACGACTAAGAATGCATTGAGCAGTTTGCAGACTGCGTTTGCGAAATCGTTTCACAAATTTCATCCCTTGAGTACTGGTCTTCAAAGTTGAAGGTCCGAATTGTTGCTTACCAATCCGAAGTTGTTCCATCAAAGGATTGATCCAAGGCCAATTGTAAATGGGGCGAAAAGTCCTTTGGCATGCTGTTTCAACTGCAAGAAGCTTGTCAACGTCAGTCTGGAGTAAAGGAAAACCAATAAATTGAAAATAGTTGCGTTGTGCTGACCAGGCCTTCAAAGCTGGTTCGTAGTAAGCAAGTTGGTCTTTCTTTAACTGTCGGTATTTTCGTAACCGACTCTGTTCTCTCGAAAACATGGTTTGTTCAGTGGAGCCAATGTAAAACTGAGCATTTCGAAAATGTAAACGACAGTACACGATGCTCGACCTGTTCCACCATGTCCATGACAAAATTTCTGGAAGTTCGCACTGCCGCAAAATAGTCAGAAGACGTCGATTTTTGGCTGAAAAAGGTCGAATGATGTAAGCAAAAATGGTCCAAACACTAAGTATCCACATGATCCGTTCCTGTACATGCCATGGTAAAGCTGGAGAAAATTGCAAAGTGTAAATCATGAATTGGATGCTAGCAAACCACAGCGACTGAAAATGTGAGGCAAGCTTCGTTGTCTCTGCACCATGCATATGCTTGGAATACTTGCGAAATGGCTGCCCCCATGATGATGGAGGACTTACTTCACTGGTTTGTAATCCAAAATGTCAGTTTCGAAGGAATTGAACGGCGGCCAAAACCTTCAAATTGTATTCCGCCTTTGTTTTGGCCAGTACTGTACTGGGGAGACCCCAATCTGAAAGAATCGATTCTAAATTTGGTCTTTCAGAGGCTGGAAACTGATTGTATTCGTCAGTAATGGTCTTCAACATGGCATCAACATTGACTTGTTCCGTCTTAGGAACATTGTTCTTGATCCACTTGTCGAGTTCAGTCATGGTATGTTTGGGTGTGTGTGTGCCTAAGATGGGTGCGTTTTGTCCACGTCGATATTGTGAGAGTGGAGAACGGTCATCTTGGGCTCCCGGCATACTTGGCATCGACTGACTTTTTTGGCGTCTGAGTTCCTCTGTTGCTGATTGACGAAACATGGATGGGAGTGTTCCGCCTGGTGGTTCCTCAGTGTTCTGAGTCTGTGATCCTTCCTGAGTAGGAACTTGACTTTGGTTGGCACGAAGAGCTGCGTTCTCTTTCTTCATTCTTTCCAGTTCTTCTAACAATGATTGATTGGAATCTTTGGGTGCCAAAGTCTTGAACAAATCAACAGTCTGTTGAATCAACGCCTCAATTCCTGAAAGCTTGGATTTCCAATCTTGAGAATCACCTGGTTCTGAAGACAAATGCTGGATGAGCTTCGCAAAATCAACATTGTCTTTTTGTCGGTAGAGTTCACGAAAAAGCATGGTAGAAAATGTGGCTTCAAGGCGATTTCGAAACATCTCACATGCGACATACCTACCATTGGCAACAAGGCGCAAAGCCCAATTTTCAAGACCGTTGGACACAATGTCGACAAGCTTAACATCAGAAATAGGAATGCCAGCTGTATTGTTCTTTCGTGAAAAATTGGTCGACTCAACATGTCGTGGAAAAGTCAATCCATACTCCGTCTTTGTGTCATAATGGGTTCGTGTGGATTGCCACGAATCAGGTAAGTCTGGTGATCGTGCACGACTGAGGTCTTGGGTCCGGGACAGCGGTCGTCTTCGATCACGGTATTCCTTAGACTCGTGTCGACGATGTCCACGACTGCGATGTCGAGATCTGGATCGAGAATCTCGGCGTTGAGACTGCATCTGTCCAAATACTGATCACAAACGGATTGAAGAACGACTTACTGACGGGTTTGATCCACTGTGAATTATACCAATCATGGAAAACAGTAATGAAAAAATTGAACAGAACCAGACAATTTTGATGCAAGTCAAATTGTAGTACTCAAGAAAAACAGCAGCTGAATTAGACTTAACAAAATGTAAATACTCTTGATTTCGAAATCATCACTGGGAAAAACATCAAACGTATGTGACTGTAACTCACAAAAAGGTGACTTGGACGAAATCTGAAATGACTCATGAAGAGATGGCTTGATAAATGAAACCGCTCAAAAAGTGATACAACAGAGCGCAGCTTTTGATCTATGGAGCGCAACAAAATTGTGTGACTTCCATGATCATTGATCATGATGATGGGATGATACAAGCTAAATGGCTAAGCGGACTCAAATGAGAACGAAGACCCCAACGTTTGTCACGTCCATGTACACTGTCAAAATAGTGTGTACAAGCATGTTCTCCAATAACACCGCCGAGAACGTTGGTCACATGTGGTTGTCTTGATTTAGACATACCGAGCAAACATGTAGGACGATCAGTGGTAAAATTTGAATATTTCTGTGCCTTTGTCAAGGTTGTGAGCATCACTGATCTGGTCATAACAGGTCTTGCCACAGTAACGCCACGACAGAAAAAGGTCAATGCCGGGATCCATGTTTCGTCTTGTGGGTCAGTGGATGATGGTCTGATATACCCATGGAACAAACTGTCTGCAGCAGATTGTGGATTCGTGTTGTGTGCGTAACATATGTATTCTGCAGCAGGAATTTCTGGTTCTTGTGTAAAAACGACTGGTTCCAAGCGAGCGACAATGGCCACAAGAGACTGATTCTGGTGATCAAAGAGTAAGTCGATGCACTCCACGAAAGCCCAAACTTCAGAATGTAGAAGGAGAGTAGAGATCAATACTTCGAGTGCGGAATGGATGATTAAAGAGAATTTTTTAAACTTGGCGGAATACTCATCTTTGAGGATCTGCATATGGTCAGTCATAAGTTGTTGTTTTAACAGCGCAATCGAGTCAATAGTTCGAAAAGAATATTGTTGCTGAAAATATGTCAAAGATGGCGTCCATTTGTCAACTGCCAAAGTGAGTGCACCAGTTTCATATGCATTCTTGATACGGTAAGGATCTTGATAGAGTTCTTCACGAATGCGGCCCATGCACTGATATAGGAACCACCAAGGTGATTTCTCAGGTTGTTCTAAAGTAATACAATCACAGCAAAATGTGGCAGTGGTGGGTAGCGTCCAAAAAGAAATCTGATCACTCTGAGGGTGTAAAAGTTCAATAATTTCAACAGTCAAAGGAGGCCGTCCAATGCGAGTCGTAACCTTTGGTCTAGGTCCGGGTATTCTTCGATCACTAGTGAAGGTCTTCTTGTGTCCATGATGGTCATGTAAACAATGTACGAACAATCCCCAACGTGGAATGGGAGCAACTGAGACTGACGGCTGGTCTATAAACATTGATGCCCGAACTCGATCCCGTTGATCTGATTCAGAAGTCAGAGGCACCCGGACCGTTCCATCGCTTGGTAAATCAGCTGTAACAGTGGGACGTACTCGATCCACTCGGTCATTTGATGTGATCTGATTTTGACGATCATCAGTGACTAAGGGCAGTGCAACTTGAGAGCTACGGTTCTGACGTTCCACAGTGTCTGAGGGCAGTGCAGAATGAGAGCCCAATCCAGAAACTACGTTCGATCCGTCCATTCGATCATCACGATCAACAATTGGTGCACGAAATGAGCTGGGTTGAATGCCAAGAGCATTGGAGAACATCATATTTTGTGACAAAGTCAACATTTGTTGAAACTGCATGTGTTGAACATGTTGAACATGTTGAGACTCCGTATGAAGAACAGTCTGGAGTAAGTCCCGTGTCTCTTGAATGTTGGATCCTTCAATTCGATATTGTCCGCATTGTCCTGTAAATTCAAGAACTGTAGGACGACTTTGGCGACTTACAGGTGTGATCCAGGATGGTGGAGGAGTAGGACTAGGTGGACATCGCGACTTTGGTACTGCAGCTGGAATATCAGATTTCGACATGGCTCAAACAGATACAGAGGAAAGGTGAAAAACAAAAGAACTAAATGATGACAGAACAGATCTGAGTTGCCCGAACGTGTAGAATGTAATAAATTCGTGTCTGTCTTTCAGAATTCCAGCCATACGGCTTGCTGCTGTCTTGTGACGTATTCCAAATCTTGTGAAATCTTGCATTGTATTTGATTCATGTATTTCGGCCTGAAGCCAATTCACACGGGAATTAATACCCGTCAGATTTCGAGGTATTGCAGTACCCCACTATTCTTCCGGAAGGCCGGTACCGATTCAACGCGTGTCACCAAACACGCGGACGGCAGTCACAAGTCAGTGACACTGTGCCCGTTACACACTGCTGATGGGAGCATGTTACTGAGTAACATTACTCGAATGAGGAACTTTATAGTGATGAAGTAGTTCATGCCTTGAGGGTTCCTAGGTCCAAAATCCTGGTCAGTCGAGTAGGGAAAGCAGTGGGAAACTCTGATTTCTGAGATAATCTCAAATTAGCAACATATACGCATGAAAATGGACAGCTTGTTCAACAGTTCAAAACCAACTTCTGCAGGTACAGGGAGGTGATCAGTCTCCCCTTCCCCCCAATGGCAATAGCTTCGTTGCGTGCAGTATGCCAAAGGTGCTGCACGCCCCTGCATCTGATGGATTGTTTGAATCAACTTGTTAACAGAAACTCAGGTCCGCATGAGTGATAGCGGATTTCACACACACACACACTGACAAACCAACATGCCACGAACAGCCCAAACAAAGAAGTTATGACAGCCGCAGGCAGGAGAGATGAATAGGAAGCTGAAAAGGAGCGGAGCGAGTTAGAAACATTGCCAATTCAGCAAAACAAAACGGACAAAGGCTAAGCAAACCCTATTAGTGAAAAATTACTGGATGAAATCATGGTCGAAGTCGTGAGCCCTGAGGAAGCAAGGAAACAAATCTTAAGCCAACCGCTCACTATATATATGATGTTGCGACGCAAGTCCTTTCGACTGATATTCGATTTCCTGCCTGCGATTCTTCATGAAAATCTGCAGAATTCAGGTAGGACCATGCAGCTTCAACCGATTCTTGGTCTCCACGAATCCGATCCAAGCCGGCTCTTGCCTCCTCAGGGTCTTGGGACAAGACTGAGGACCAGTTCAAAGGAGGTAGTTCAGACCAGCTAGCCATTGTCCAGCAACGCTGGCTGGCTGTCCTGACAAGGATCTCACCCAGCATTTTGGCCATGCGGTTGGTCTCAGCAACATCATCTGCACCAGCAAGCAACCCCAAGCGATGGAGGATTTCTTCGTTGCCCAGCATAAGGAAAATGTTGCCGATCTCAGCAGCCCAGTGCCTGTTGGCCCAGTTAATCTGGAGGTCTCGTGCCGCATTCTCATTCGAGGAGAGCTGCTCAAGCAGTGTTTGGTAAGATCGCTGCAATACAATTCGCGACGACCAGATCCTGAAGGAATCGGCAACAAGGAGAGCTCACCAAAGCTGAAATTCTGTTATAGGGAATTGATTAGCCATATCAAACATAACATGTCTTCAAATTGCAAACATGTCTAACCGAAGACCCTGGCTGCGCAATGAAAGAATGCGACAGACTGCTCTATACTGATGTATTTCAAATCCGCTGTGCCCTTTGCTGCTAGCAACTTCGGGGAGGCAAGGTTGCAATACAATGTGATTTGCCTCAGCCATTTAAAGCTATATCTCTGTCTGTGAAAATATTATTCTTGTCACAGCTGCGCAGACAAGGCTCAACCAGCCAAGCTTTCGGATTTGGTCATCTTGCAAAACGCTGCAGACAACGTCCATCACTGGCTTCTTTTGCTGCATAGCCCTGAGCTTCTGCAGAAGGTCCTTAGGGCCGCTAAGTCCACCACCAGCAGCCTCTTCTGGAGGGTCTTGCAGGTCTTGGTCGCCATCTTCGACATCCACCGATGAAGCCTTCAACGCTTGCAAGGATGTGTGGATCAGTCGTAGGAACGTCCAAAACCTAGCAAACCCTTTCCAACGACCTGACCATTCGAAGAAACGGCTGAGCTTCACCTTTCAGGGAGCCACAATCAATTGGTGCTTCAAACACTTTCACCCATCCGAAAGTAACGTCCACCAAACATGAGAAAGACACCCGATGAATGTGCTTTGTTCGGGCGATACTTCGCCTCTTGAACATTCCAGTGCCCGATGCTCTCAAGCAGAAGCTGGTGGAGCTCCTCGTTCGTTAAGTGCGGTTGCAGCAGGTCCGCCTTCATATCATCCGCGTTGCCGGCAAACCTCATATAGCACTCCATGTTACCGAGCAAAGGTTTACCATTGTGGGATTCTTATCAAAATGCAAGCTTGAAACTCTTCAGAGTCGGGGGGAATGGAGCTGCAACCAATGGAGCGCATGCGCTGCCAATTCTGCGCCAAATTCACCCGTCTTGAAAGGTTTCTTTCGCACTGACATTGCAAGCCTCGTGCAAGCCAGAACGCCTGACAAAAGATGCGGAGACCGGAGACATGCGACATATATTCAAAGACATGCCGGACTGGGTGTGAATGGAGCTCATACAGAGGCCAGTCTCAAGAGATATCTGATATCTGCATATAGATTGACGTTGAAGACCTTGAACCTCAAACAACTCTAACCGTAAAGCAACAGAGCTCTAACATACCAAACACCCCTGGGGCCATATGCGGGCCTTGCAGGCCAAGGTGGTTTGTGGGCAGGTTGGAGTCATTGGAAATCCGATGAACAACATCGCTCTTGAAAACCGCTCGCATGCCCAGACTGTACAGCAAAGTATGGATCCACGCGGTCCTCAGCACCGAGTCATGCTTTTCAGCTTGGTGCCAAGCAAATCTTGAATTTGCGCAAAGAGTGTCCACATGTCTGATTACCTCTACAGCTAGGAAACTGCAGGCTTCAAAGCGTAGAATCCCCTTGCTCTGTTCCCGTTCAATTTCTGAGCTAGCACATGAGACATAGACTCACCAGATGCTGGCAGGCAAAAACCTATTGATGAACAGCCACAATTCAGCACTGTCAAGCAACTGCGCCTTCTCTTGATCAGAAAGAAGAACCAAAGCTCCTTTGTCCTCCAAATCAGATAACTTGCGGGGTACATCCGGGGAGGTTGGCCGCGGAAAGTGGTCAGCCAGGTCGACTCCGGCTCCATGCTGTACAGCTCCCAGCAGACCTCTCACAGCGGTGTATGGCTCATACTTTTTGAAGCGAGCATGCTTCTTTGCATTGCGCAAGCTGCCCTCCACAATCTTTCCCTCTTTCTCCAGTTTCTCGGTGGGCTAGACTCAATGCCAGCGAAAGGGAAAAGGACATGCAAGTAGCCAATTGACAAACAGTTCTTGAAAGTCATGCTGGTTGAATCTTGGTCACATTTGGCTAGGTGGCAAACAACTTGAAACCAAACAAATGTCCACACTTTTTGTCTGAACATACATATCTAAATATAGCTATAAATACATTTCAGGTAAATAAATACATGAATAAATAAATCAATAAATCCATAAATAAAACAGTATATATATATATGTATATATATATATATGTGTGTGTGGTGTGTGTGTGTACACGGAATGCGTGGACTGCGCGGTCGCCAGGATTATCAGCTAGCTTTCAGTGGCATTGTGCAATCAGGGCCCCGCAGGGCAGGATTCAAAATGTTCCTGTAGCAAACTAGCTTCAGCGACAGTCATCGCCAACCTTGCTTGGTCATCTCGCTCATTTTGAATTTCCATGTCATCATGGTCAATGTGCCCGCTCTGCACCTTAAAAATTCGGTGCAAAGTCACAAGCAATCCGCTCAAACAAAGCAGCAGCAAGAAGAAAGATGGTGGCGTACGGCCACCTGCACGAGTGATGGAGCTGGATCCCTTTTTTGAGGTTTCTTGCGCCGGTCACGTCGCGTTCAAGCCAACTGTGCGTGAGCCTTGGCCTTGTGCGGAAGACCCCCTACGATACTGTCGATGTATCAAAACCAAACAACGCTCTGGCCCCTGTTTGACCAACACCTTCCAAGTTATGAGAATAACACAGACAGCATCGCGGTTCTCAAGAGGCAAGTTCCCCTCAGCTCGGCGGATGGGCTTGCAGCAATTCTTAAGCACGAGCGCTCGAAAACATCTATTAATCTTGCTTGTAAACCACGTCAGGGAACTTCATCCCCGAACAGCCGCAGAAGCCATCACCACACGAGACGAGTGGCGGTCATTGAGTCACTGCTAGCTAGCGAAACTGTTAAACGAAATTATACCATGCAGGGATTTCAAAACATTCTTTCCTTTGACGTTCTCACCACCACAGGCATCAAAAAGACATGGCGCCACATCAGGGCGTCCGGCGCCGACGGGCCGCAGTCTCACATCAGACCCCTTTACACTTGGCCATCGACAACCCCCGCTAAAAAATGTGATTTGTGGGTTGATGGGTACCAGATAGGAAAGATAATGCTGCTGTTTAACCCAAAACTAAACACTCAATTCGAGAATTTAGCTCCAGTGTCCAGCAAAATTCATCTGCAAATTGACGGTGTCCGGGTAATATGCTTGATGTAGGATCTTGTTGGGCTCATGATTGAACTTCGTGCTAGGTATGAATCAAGGCATCAGGGAATCAGTTCAATCAACATTGCAATGCGCGACGGTAAAAATAGACTCAGGTGCTATCCCCAACCGCTTGAAACCTTCTGCGTTTTTGCAACAAAAATTGCTTATGCCGTAAAAACATATAAATCTATGCACTTATGCAATAAATTTCAAATGCTTATGCCATAAGAAAACGTCGCAACCCTTTGGAATTTCACAAAGCATCTGCACCAGACCGCTCCTGAACCTCAAAGGTATCTGCACCGGAACCTTCCGAAACCTCACCAAACATCTTCTCCGCCAAAACCCCCGGAACCTCACAAGGTCTCTGCACCCGAACCTTCCGCAACCTCATAAGGTATCTGCCCCGGAACCCTCCAGAACCTCACCACGCATCTTCACCTAGACCCTCGGGAACCTCATCAGGTAGCTGCACCGGAAACTTCTGGAACGTCACCAGGTCCCGCACCAAAACCTTCTGGAACCATTGCGCCATAACCCTCCGGAACCTCACCGAGTACCTGCACCAGAAACTTCCGGAACTTCACAAGGTATCTGCAACGCAACCCTCCGGAACGTCACAAGGTATCTGCACGGGAACCGCGCAGAACCCTCGGGAGCCTTAGCAGGTATCTTCACCGGAACCTTCCAGAACCTCACGAGGTATCTGCACCGGAACCCTCCGGAACCTTACGAGGTATCTGCACCAGACCCCTCCGGAACCTTGTCCGGAACCTGCTGTTGAAGCTGCACCGGAGTGCGCCGCAGCTAATCTGCGCCAAAGACCCCAAAGCAAAGTTTTGCTGTTGGGGAAACATGAAACATCCTTCCAACATTTGCACGCTTACGCAACATATGTGAATACACTATGCCATGGTCAAGGCTTTGAGCCATTGCCTTTCAGTACGAGCGCCTTGCAATTTTTTCATGGTAGCGAGGCAGTGATCCTGGGAGCATCCAGGTGAGCCCTAGCAGGTCGGGGACGGGAAGGTAGGATTGGAAGGGACGGCCAAAGGAAGACAAGAAGGCCTCAGGTGAAAAGGGTTGGCAAACAGTGAGGGAAGGTGTAAAGCGGGAAGGGGGGAGAGTGCCGGAAAAAGGAGGAAAAAAATCAAGCCGGGCTGGTACCCATCAGCAAGCCCCAACCGAAGAATTAAGGGTACCAGAGATTTTCCCGAAAAAACTCGAGGAAATCTCTGGTACCCCTAAATTTCCCCTGAAAGACGCAGCACTGGTTTCCAACATGGGAGGTCTGGTGTGGAAACTGCTTTCCCAGGTCAGGTCTCTCACTCCAAAGCAATAACCCCTCCCTTGGCCACGCCCTTGGCCACAGCAGCTGCAGGCGGCGGCACTGGCAGTGCTGTGCCAGCCTCGCCCGTGGCCGGTGGTGGTGGCGGCGCGGCTTTTGCAGCGCTGGCAAGGCTTTCCACAAAAGCAGCCGCAGAAGGCTCGGCAGATTCACCTCGAGCTTGGCCATGAAGCGCCGTCCCCACAGCTGGTGAAATCTTGGGAATAGCGACCATCTTGGCGGCTGGTTGCAAAGCCACAGCTGGAGCGGCCTTGCGCGGCGGTGGGTCAGAAACTTGGCTTACCCTATTCTTCCAAAATGTGATCATCGGTTGGAAGGCCCCAGATCACAAACAGCAGAGTTCAGCTTACAATTTGACAACATGCATAGGTTTGATACAAAGCTCAATAAACAGCTGCCTTTGCAGCAGAAACATCTGTGGGCACAGCCGCCGCGCTTGCCACTGTCACAGGGGGTGGAGGCGAAGTAGGATTTGGACCCACCGTTGCGTCTGGTTCGTCCGCCACTTCGCCAAGCGTCAAGGTTCTCTGTGAATCCTTGGGTCACGCAAGCCAGTATCGCAAAAACAAGGAAGGTTATACTGTTGGGCTAGGCTTAAAAAAAAGGGCGCCAACCTGCCACTCATAATCAAATATTGAAAATCAAGCAAAGGATCGTCATCAGCATTCGCAGTAAGAGAAAGATGGGGCTGGAGGCGGCGGCGCTTGTCTGGCTGCTCGCCACGCTGCGGGGCCGCCAGGACTTCCGCACACTTAGCTATTCCAACATCCAGCAACACCAAAGCTCTGCTGACATGCCATCAAACGTGCACGACATGCGAGGTACAGAATATATACATTCATGCAGCATGCGTTGTTTGAAAAGCTTGATCAAAAACCGGGTGAATGCAACCAGGCAGCCCAATGCGATGCTTGCAATGCTGCGCTGGAAACGAACCAGGACCCATCCATGCTCTGGCGAAGCTGGAAATCTTGCGACGGGTTTGGGGCAAGCAAGGCCTTCTTGGTTACAGTGAAGCTCTGGCTACAAATCTCAAGCAATTGCCCCTGACCGTTCTCATCATATAGCAAAGCAAACGGGCAGGCCATGTCACCAAACATGCTCTCACTCTTCAGGCTGCGCATTGGCGAAGCGCCACGGGTAGTGTCATGATCAGATTCAACAGCCGGCTTTCTGTCAGACGTCCGCAAATCCCCGCTCTGCTGCTCTCCTCCCGGCAGCTGAGGGACAGGAATGAAATCTGACAACCAGTTGTTCTGCAGCCCATTGGAGACATAGGGACGCGCCGGCCTCTGAAGGCAAAAATGCGAGAATGAGAGAAAAAAGGAATGAAGGGAAGAGGGGAATCACATACTCGGACAAATTGCGGCTTGTCAATTAAGATGCCAACTCACG